ACTCGCACTTCTCTAAGTTGACCTTATACTTGTGTTGTCGCAGGAGTGAGAGAACTGTCTCAACATGCTGTGCTTGCTCCTCGGCAGACTTACTAAAGATCAGAATGTCGTCTAAGTAGATCACGACAAACTTATCTAAATGGTCATGGAAGATCCGATTCATAGCGTGCTGGAACGTACCCGACCCATTATCACTACAAACTCATACAGACCATATCTAGTCTGAAAAGTTGTCTTGTGTTGGTCCTCAGGTCTTATTGCGATCTGGTGATATCCGGATTTCAAGTCTATCTTTGTATAGTACTTGCATCCCTGCACCCTATCCAGTAGGTCGTCTATGCGAGGTAGAGGCTCTGCGTTTTTCACAGTGATGGCATTGAGGCCTCTATAGTCAATGCACATCCTCAAAGTACCCCCCTTCTTCGGTACGAATAGAATGGGTGATCCGTAAGGGGAAGTACTAGGCTGAATCCAACCCTTCTCTGTTAGCTCCTTTAGTTGCTTCCGAAGTTCATCTAACTCGGCAGGGGCCATCTATAGATCCTTTCCTTTGGGGTCTTACTCCCTGTAATGATTTTTATAGCGTGGACAACTTCCCTATCAACAACTCCTGAGGGCTCCTCGAACAGATCAGGGAACTTAGCAACGACGCGGTCTATCTCTGGGGGTGTTGTAACGGCCTCCCCCTTCTCAGAGAAATAAACAAGGTACATACCCTCCTCTTGGTTCTGTTTATAGTAATTGTAGAACGCTGATGCACACAAGCAGCCATAGGTATCTACTATACTGCTGGCCTTGAACTTAGTCAATCTGGCAGTTCGGCCATCGGGCAACTTTTGCTTGAGCACCTTCTTATCCCAGTCGAACTGGGGCTTAGCAACTTCGAGGTAGTACATACCTAACAACATTTCGAATGGCAAGTCGTCGCTAACCAAGAACGAAATCTTATGGTTAATCTCTCCTCCTCCATAGGAAAAGGTACAGACTACGTCCTTGATGTAGTCTGTGACAATCATGCGCTCTTTGTTGGCCAAAGTAGATGCTACTGGTCTACTAAGGTGCCGTACCCGGTCCTGTAGGTGCAACCTTTCCAAACAATCGCGACTTATGTAATTTCGCGTGGATCCGTTGTCTATGAAGGCTCCACATTTGCGGCCTCCTACATCCACTTCCACTACGAAATGTTCCCCTTTAGGACCCTTTTTTAGCGCCACCCAAGACTCGCGAGGATCCTTATTTGACCACTCGCCTTCTAAGTCTTCTAAGGCCTCAGACACATCTAACGTACAAAGCATAGTTTGGTCTAGTTGTGTCTGCGGGGTGACTAAGGAGTCATTAGCTTCGGCCTTGTCATGAAGTGAGGAGGGTCCCACTTCATCTTGAGTAGAAGCCGCTACTACTTCCACTGGCCCTACGCGTTTCCCGAGCTAGAAGCCTGGGAATAGGTTGTCCCTACTTTTGGAGCAACCTTTTGCGTAGCCTTAGCGTTCTGACACTTCCACTGCGTGTGTCCGTATTCTCCGCAGTTGATGCAAGCGCCACGCATTTGGCGGTCACGCCACACGTCTTGATCAAGACCTGCCTTTACCCACTCAGACTGTTTGGTCTGATTGGAGGCGGCCTTCCCTTGACTCCTAGGTTGGCCCTTCCCTCGGCCACCTGCCTTAGTCTTTACTACCGCGGCAAGGGTGCTACCCTCAGCTACCTCCTCGCCGTCATACTCCGAGTAGTCCAACAGGTCAGAGAGCTCATCAATCTCAGTTTGAGTCCCATCAGACTCAACCATCATCAACTTCGCCCCCTTCTTCTTCCACTCCTGAGGACTCTTCTTCTTCTTTGAGTCATTCCCTGAGGTGGGTTGAGCATTGCCTAACGTGGCCTCTAAATCTAAGGCTTTCCTAGACAATGTCTCAAATGAGTGGTACTCAGTGCGTGCCTCGCTGGCTAGTAAGTTCCTCATGTTCTCAGGTAGACATCTAACAAACGTGGTTAAGAGGAACTGGTCACTGTAGTTGATGCCTGGGACGAGGATCAGACTCTCGACGGTAGTCGTAAGCTCCCTAAATGACCTGAACTTGCGTTGGTCAAGTTTGTTAATGGCATCAATGGCCCTTTGAGCCTCCTGTGGATTATGCCATCGAGCTTCTACCATCTCCATGAATTGGTCTAAAGTCAAAGACTTAGCCCAATCTGCCATGCGCCTCCCGTACCCGGCCTTCACAACTACACCATCTAACCACTTGGCTGCCTTACCCTCAAGGTAAGACGCCGCAGTTACCACTTTGTCCTCAGGCAAGGTCCTTTTGGCCTTCACCCAAACCGGGACGGTCCTCAACCATGTGTTGAATTCTTCGTCCTTTTTCTCGCCTGAGAAGGCAAGAGGCGGTTTCATTGGGGTCTTGGGATACCATTGACCTTGCGGCTGTCCTTGTGGAGGACTAGCCTGTTGCGGTGGTGTAGCAACCACCGCTGGACCCAAAGAAGAAGATGCAACAGTCTGTGCGCCTGCTGCAGATGTGCCACTTGGCTGTGTGCCAGCTTGAACCGGAAAGGGGCCTGACATCGCTGATAACGGCAACGACGATTGTGCTGGTGGCCGGTATCCTGGCCTTGTCAAAGCGTCCAGG